TCTTTGGAGGTCTTTAAGCAGAGGCTTGACAACCATATGTCAGGAGTGCTCTGATGGTGTTTCCTGCTTGGCAGGGGGTTGGACTCGATGGCCCTTGTGGTCTCTTCCAACTCTATGATTCTATGATTCTATGATTCTATGATTCTATGAAAAGAGGATTAGACAAATCCATGGAGGAGAGGGCGATCAGTGGCTACTAGCCATGATGGCTAAGCTCTGCCTCCGCAGTTGAAAGCATCAGTGTTTCTGAATACCAGTTGCTGGAAGCCACAGGAGGGGCATGTGTTCTTGTGCTTGGGTCCTGCTTGTGGATTTCCCACAGGCACCTGGTTGGCCATTGTGAGAACAGGATACTGACCATTGGCCAGGAAAAACTTGTTCTGAAATACTAGAGAGCCAGTGTCAATAAGTGTGGACAGTGCTGGCTTAGGTGAACCAGTGATCTGATCCAGAATAAGGAAGCTTCCTATGTTCCTCTGAGACATCTCACTATATTTAATGGGATGCCTTGTTTGGGGTGTGAGGGGGAAGGGAGAGACAGAAGAGTCACACCCATAACATACATTTAAAGCACACGTCTTCCTCCAGAGAATCATGGGAACAGTAGGTTGTGAAGTGTGCTGGGAAGTATAGCTCTGTGAGGGGTGCACTGCAGTTCCCAGGATTCTGGGGGGGGGGGGCAGCCATGCCTGTTGAAGGGATATAACTGTGTTTTAAATGTATGGTGTGTATTTGGCCAGAGAGACAGGGAAAAGGAAGAATGTATTTTCAGAACTATGAACAGCAATGGACAATGGTTCTATATTATCTTCTAGGTAGGCTATTGCACCTTTGGTGTCAGGCAGCAGTGGATCCAACCCCCATGGCAGGTTGCCAGGAACAGATAAGGCAGACAAGGAAAGGTTCTTACCAACTGCTTTTTATTCAATATACACAGAAAGAGGCTTGGAATGCTGCCTCTTGGAGTAATGGCATTGCCCTGAGTGAGTCTTCACCCCACTCCCTCTCTCCCTCCATGCGTCATCACTACAGGTGCTGAGAAATGACCTCTGCCTCTGAGCTCTCTGCTCTCCTACTTTCAATGCTCGCCAGGTTCTGGGAGAGGATATAGATTGCTTTCTAAAGACACTGTGTCCATCAGCTGTCGCCCTCCTGGTGTTTCTTCTTCCTCCTCTCCCATTATTTCCCAGCTTTCCCCCTCATCTGCCTCTGAGCTGTGATCTCCCTCAATCCCCTGTTGTAATTCTGAACTATCTTCTTCTTCTCTGGAAGGGTCAGCCTGGGGAGGCGGTCTCCACCATTCCTCCTCTGCCACAGTCCCTGACATTTGGATTACTCGCCCCACAGTGCTTAAGTCTCTGAGGTGAGGGTATAAATTCACCACCCAATCCAGAAAGCAGGAAGATGACTCCCCAAAGAGATCCGTCTCAGTGTCGGGATACAGCTGAGTCAAGAGCTTTGAAACACAAACAAAAACCCAGATGTTGCCTTGCTTTAGGGAAAGTTCCCATTCCCTGCTTTCCCCGAGGGATGTGGTATTCTCATTATCACCGAAGTAGTGGCAGTCTTCGGAGATGTGCAGTGATTTAATGCAAAGCCACTCATTTGTTCTTTACGCAGGAAGCCAATGGAGGGTGGGAAGGATGGGGGGGGGGAGGCAGCGAGACGCTGAGGCAGCCTTTCAGTTATTCTACTAAAGAGAGTCTCTCCCAGCAGTCTTTGGAAGGAGCTCTTGAATTTTGTGTCTGCTTGTTTTTTTAATAAAGGGTAAATAAAGCGCAGAAACCCAGATTTTTGCTCTCTTCCTCCCTTTTTAACAGATAGATCTTGGAGGTTTGTATTCAAAAGGAGCTACAGTACTTATGAAGTGGGATGCGGGTGGCTCTGTGGTCTAAACCACTGAGCCTAGGGCTTGCTGATCAGAAAGTCAGCGGTTCGAATCCCTGCAACGGGGTGAGCTCCCGTTGCTTGGTCCCAGCTCCTGCCAACCTAGCAGTTTGAAAGCACATCAAAGTGCAAGTAGATAAATAGGTACCACTCCGGCGGGAAGGTAAACGGCGTTTCCATGCGCTGCTCTGGTTCGCCAGAAGCGGCTTAGTCATGCTGGCCACATGACCCGGAAGCTGTACACCGGCTCCCTTGGCCAGTAAAGCGAGATGAGTGCCGCAACCCTAGATTCGGTCACGACTGGACCTAATGGTCCGGGGTCCCTTTACCTTTTTACAGTACTTATGAAGTTCTTTCGCAACAATGGGGGTGATGGGAAGTAGGACTCAGTCGGGAAAGGGCCATAGATCTGTGGAAGAGTTGCAGAAGGTCCCATGTTCAATCCCTGGCATCTCTGGGTAGGGCCAGGTAAGACTCCTACCTGAAACCTGGAGAGCTGCTGCCATAGTCAATAATGAGTTAGGTGGATCAATGGCCTGATTCATTATAAGGCAGCTGTACAAGGGTACAGCCTTGTTCCACACGCTCTACACTACAGCACGTGCCGGCCAGTGACCTTCCTTAAGTGTTCCTCCTCCTCGAGAGGTGCAGAGGGTGGCAACATGAGGAGGGGGCCTTCTCTGCAGTGGCTCCCCATCTGTGGAATGCTCTCCCCAGGGAAGTTTGCCTGGCGCCTTCATTATACACCTTTAGGCGCCAGGCAAAAACATTCCTTTTTAACCAGGCCTCTGGCTGATCTGATTGACATTCTATGCCCTTTTAAAGTGTGTCTCTTTCTTTGGGGTGTGTGCTATTGGGTTCTTATTTTTATCTTATATATTGTTGTTTTTATGTTGATCTTTTCTGTGAACTGCCCTGAGACCTCTGGGTATAGGGCGGTATATAAATTCAATAAATCATCATCATCATGCTGTAGAGTATCATGTAACTGATACAGTAGTGTCCTCCCGCACAGCCCTGTTGAATTATACTACCCTTTACATGTTTCTTCCCTGTGTAATGAGGGATGGACAAAACAGTCTTGCTCTGCTCCATGTCCCTTGAATAAGAGTAGGCTGGCAAGACTGTCCCCTCAACTCCATGCAGATTTTTTTAAAAGGAAAAAACCCTTTAAAAATCCCGCACACTTTAAATTAAAAGTACTTACAAGGTAGACCAAGGACACCTCTGGATTGTTCCTCCCCCCCTTTTTTTTAAAAAAAATATTTTTTATTAAATTTTCCATTTTAACAATCCAATCCAATCACATTAAGTATTCCAAATTATACAAATACATATCATATAGTCCAAATATTCTGCCAAATTATTAATTTTTTTCGGGGCTTCCCATGCTTCAAGTTCAGTGGGGTTCCAATCATCTTATGTTTCTACTGCCTTGAGTTTCCAATAGTTCCTTCTTTAAATCTTCCTGTTGTTATCCTTCCTCCCCCCCCCCCCACGCTTTCCCCCTTACCGTCTCCTTCATGAGTTTCTCTAATCTGCTTTTAAAGCCATCTAGGTTGGTGGCCATCATCACGGAAAAGACTTTGGTGTGGAAATCCTGTAAACATGTGCAGGAGTTCAATTTGAGCCCAGACGTTCAGAAGAGAAAGCCATGTCGGTCTGCTCCAGCAAAGAGAGAGAGAGAGAGAGAGGAGGAGGAGGAGGAGGAGGAGAAAGTTGTGGATTTATTGTAGCATAAGCTGCTGTGGACTCAAGTTCACTATATCTGATGCACTTCATCAGATCACAGGTTCCCGGTAGCAGCCAGAGGAATTACCGGGGACCTATAGAACTTGACGATAATGATCAAGATGGGAGATTCAAGGCCAGCAGCGGTTGACACCATCTCTCCCCTCTGGGTCTTGGGAGGGATGGAGGCTGCAGTTCATTCTGGGCTCTACGTCTGCATATTCCGGACAAACAGAGCAGAAAAGTCAGTGCAAGGGAAGCCATAATAGAAGAAGAAATCAGGGGAAGTTTAGCTGCTGAGAAGGGCAGCGTTCATGAGGAATTCATACTGCCCAAAGTAAGAAAAATGCTAGCTTTATAGGCAGCCTTTTTTTGGGAGGGGGGGCCGGAAAAATAATTGAGGTTGGATCTATCGGTGTACATTAGCTGCTGAAGCTAAACAAAATCTCTGTGTTCAGATAAGCAGGGTGTTAATCATCATCATCATCATCATTTATTACTTATACCCCACCCATCTGGCTGGGTTTCCCCAGCCACTCTGGGCAGTTCCCAACAGAAAACAACACGATAAAACATCAGACATTACAAACTTCCCTAAACAGGGTTGCCTTCAGATGTCTTCTAAAAGTCAGAGAGTTCTTTATTTCCTTGGCATCTGGGGAGGGCGTTCCACAGGGCGGGTGCCACTACCGAGAAGGCCCTCTGCCTGGTTCCCTGTAACCTCATTTCTCGCAGGGAGGGAACAGCCAGAAGGCCCTCGGAGCTGGACCTCAGTGTCTGGGCTGGACAATGGGGGTGGAGACGCTCCTTCAGGTATACTAGATCAATGCTTCTGAATGCCAGACATTAGACTAGTGGAGGCAATGCCCCACCTACCCCAGCCTACCCTTAGCCAACTCCCCCAGCTGCCTGCCTTCTTTCCTCCATCCAGTCTAATGGGTAGCACTGGCTGTCAGCTTCCTCCTTCTAAGCCTCAGCCTTGCCCCTTGCATAACTCAACTGGGAGGAGGATTGGGTCCCCTGGTTTAGACACTGATGCTGCTGCCAGTCAGGGTTGGGAACCCTGAGCTAGATGGACTTAGCAACATAGGAAGCTGTGTTCTAGAGAGGAAGACCACTGGTAAATCTCTAGCTCTGTAGCATCTGCACTGACTGGCAGCAGCAGATCTCTGGGGTTTCAGGTGGGGAATATGTGGAGATGTCATTTGGAAGTGAACCTGGGACCTTCTGCATGCAAAGCAGGTCCTCCGCCACTGAGCTATGGATGTTCACTGAATAGGAAGACAATTAACCCTGTTGATCCAGCTAGTCCAGTATTGTCTGCACTGGTTGGTAGAGGCTTTCTGGGGTTTCAGGCAGGGATCATTCCCAGCCCTCCCTGGAGATGCCATTGGGAGTTGACCCTGAAACCTTCTGCATGCCAGGCAGCTGCCCTGCCACTGAGCTATATCCCTTCCCCATTTCAGGGTCAAGACAATACCTTGATGATTTCTTGAGTGCTGCCCCTACAGCTGGGCAAGGTTAGTAAAAATGTTTGGGTCGCCGAGGTGTGTATGAGTGGAGATCTTTTCATTCAAGATCCTCTGCAAATCCCGGGGAGCTGAAGGGATTCAGCCAATTAAGTCCACCCGGATTTAGATGATCAAAAGAACTTCTTCCCATCAGATGCACTTGTAACAAGAAATCCTAGGGAGGCCCCACGGCAGAGCAGAGGTTCAGATCCCTTTCTTCCTGGATGAGCGGGCCTTTATTTCTGTCATCTCCCCCCAGGAGCCAAAGAACAACAGCAGCAACAAAGAGGAAGGAGACGGCAGCTCAGACAGGCTCTCCCTCCCTCCCTGCTCGCCCTGAAAGGCATCACCAGCTCTATCCCTTTGGTGACACATTAGCCGTCAACTGCTTGATCGATAGCCACCGAGCCCCTGGGAATGAATTACAGCCATTCCCCTTGCTATAAAGAAAGTGAGGAGGAGGGGAATCTCTTGATTGTGAAATTCACTCAGAGGGATACAGTGAGCCGAGTCCAAACAACCAGGGCTGCTCCCTCCTGCAAAGAGCAACGACAGCCCCAATCTCAATGTTTGGAGGAGAGAAGGAATGAGGATAACCGGATTGTATTTGGGGCTCTCGTGTGCTGTGTGGTCAGGCAGCAGATGGATGAGATGAGGTAGGTAGAGGCACCTTCTCTCACTGATGTGTCTCTCAGATTTGAGAGACAAGCCTAGGACTATTATTACATACAGCCAGCGGAGCTCCTATTGCTCCCTCCCTCAAGCCACGTAGAATCATAGAATGGTAGAGTTGGAAGGGACCTTAGCATAGTCTCAAGGGCCAACCACTGTGGGGCAAATTATTGATGTGTAACCTCACAAGCAAATCAGAATGAAGATTCATAGTTTTACAACTTTCCAGCAGACAAGCCTGAACAACTGCTTAATGAAGACTAGACCTGGTGTAACTTACAAATAAACCTTGTGTAATCAAATCAGGATGAATGCTCAATAAATGGATCATCTAAAGGAACTCATGGGCCACAACTATAGACTGAATGTGCTTTATTCCTTTAACCCAGGTGTAGCCAACATGGTGCGAGGCAACGGTGCGGCAGGTGGCGGTGCTGCGGTGCTGTGTGTGGCGGTCAGCTCAGCGGGATCCCACCATCGTCGCCAGTGAAATATACTCAGAGTCAAGAGTGGATTTCATGCTCTTTATTCAGCTCATAGTAGTGAGGAATGAAAGTTTCCCCAAAATATCTGCTTTATATACATTATTTACACAGTGGGCTGCACGTGATTGGCTAATTCTGGGATTCTCCTGTAGGCCAATCAGGTTGCAGATTCACTTCCACCTGGAGCGGGATTGGGTGGCTCCTGCGGACCAAACATACTGCTCCATTGTTCTAGGACCAATCAGACTGCTGCATTTTGGATCCTATTGTTCTAGGACCAATCAGACTGCTTCATTTGGATCCTATTCAACTCAGTACATAACAGGTTCAGAATCCAAAAGAGCTCTAGTGCACACTACCTGCCTGCATCCAAGTGGATTTAACCGGAGTGGTTCCCCACTGGCCTGGAACAGAGGAGACTTGCATTCCAGATGGATATTGTTCCCCTCCCTTTGGTGAAGCTTTGCAGCAAATAGCTTTCCAAGAAATCATTCCCTCCGACTGCAAAGCAGATGCTCTGCCACTGAGCTATGAGCCTTCCTTTCAGTCACAGGAAGCTGCCTTAAAGCAAGTGAGGCTCTTGGTCTGCCAGGCTCTGCCTGTCTACACTGACTGGCAGCCGCTCTCCACGGTTTCAGGCTGAAGAGATTCCGAGCCCTACCTGGTGGGCCTGGTTTCAGAAGAGGAATACGCAAGCATCTTCTCTCCCAGGGTGACAAGGAGAGGATGAGTGACAGGCAGCACCGGTGTAATCCTCCCTTAGCGTTTGAGATAGGGCTGGAATATAAATCTAAATGGCAAGTAATGTAGCAAAACCTCTTTTAATCTTGCCCTTCCTAATCTAAATCCTCCCAGTACCTTGTAACTGCACACTGCTTTCAAAAAATGGTGACATTCACTTATTTTCCTTTCCTGTCAGTTTCCTGGGGGATCAGGGCCGGTGATGGGGGGAGGGGAGGGGAGGGAGCCATTTTTTAAAGGGACACTAATGATTGTATCTTACTCAGAGGAGACCCATTAAATTAAAGGAGCTACGTTAGCTGTGTCTATTAGTTGCAATGGGTCTATGTACTCTGAGCACCAGAGATCAATGTGATCAGATGAAAACGCGAGCAGGATTTGAAATATGAGTAACAGCTTAGAAATATTAGAACAAATAACTTGGGTTGATTAAATATATAGATTAAGAAAAGAAAAAAATATGCAGCATCTATGGGGAAACATAGGACATCACGGAAGGGTGCCACATCACACGGGATTTCAATGTAATGTCTATAGGTAAAGGTAAAGATAAAGGGACCCCTAACCATTAGGTCCAGTCGTGGCCAACTCTCGGGTCGCGGCGCTCATCTCGCTTTACTGGCCGAGGGAGCCGGTGTACAGCTTCCGGGTCATGTGGCCAGCATGACCAAGCCGCTTCTGGCAAACCAGAGCAGCACATGGAAACGCCGTTTACCTTCCCGCCGGAGTGGTACCTATTTATCTACTTGCACTTTGACATGCTTTTGAACTGCTAGGTAGGCAGGAGCAGGGACCGAGCAACGGGAGCTCACCCCGTCGCAGGGATTTGAACCGCCAACCTTCTGATCGGCAAGTCCTAGGCTCTGTGGTTTAACCCACAGCGCCACCCACGTCCCCAATGTCTATAGAAAAATGTTCTAAATTTGAAAATTCAATAAATTATATTAGGTATAAGCCCTAATGTCATCAGTACCGTGCTTCTCAGAACCATTTGCCAACATCATTGTGAGCACCATCAATGCTACCTGGACTCTGACTACAGCTCAAACAGGGAGGGTTGGAAAGATGCACTAGCCAGGATGGCAAGGGTCTGCCTGACTGTGGCGTCAGAGACAGCAATGCTTCTGAACACCAGTTGCTGGAAGCCACAGGAGGGGAGAGGACTCTTGTGCTCAGGGTGGCCCACAGGCATCTGGTTGGCTGCTGTAAGATCAGGATGCTGAAGTAGATGGGTCACACTGCCCTGATGCAGCAGGATCTTCTGATGTTCTTAGGAAGCCAGGATGGAGCTAAGCAGATGAAGGGACATGACTTTGCAGATAGGAGTGGCTCAGATATCAATGGGTCCCACTATGGGTCCGTATAGTAAAAGCTATGGTTTTCCCAGTAGTGATGTATGGAAGTGAGAGCTGGACCATAAAGAAGGCTGATCACCGAAGAATTGATGCTTTTGAATTATGGTGCTGGAGGAGACTCTTGAGAGTCCCATGGACTGCAAGAAGATCAAACCTATCCATTTGGAAGGAAATCAGCCCTGAGTGCTCACTGGAAGGACAGATCCTGAAGCTGAGGCTCCAGTACTTTGGCCACCTCATGAGAAGAGAAGACTCCTTGGAAAAGACCCTGATGTTGGGAAAGATGGAGGGCACAAGTAGAAGGGGACGACAGAGGACGAGATGGTTGGATAGTGTTCTCGAAGCTACCAGCATGAGTTTGACCAAACTGCAGGAGGCAGTGGAAGACAGGAGTGCCTGGCATGCTCTGGTCCATGGGGTCACGAAGAGTCGGACACGACTAAACGACTAAACAACAACAACAAAGATTCCTGGAGCCATCTGATTGGCCACTCTGGGAAATGGGCTGTTGAATTAGAGGAGCCTTAGGCTTGATCCAGTTGAGTATTGAGTAATCAAGACAGAGGGCTGTTGCCTACATGCCCTGCAGGTTTATTGGATCGGTTACGGTGCCCCAACATGGCGCCCCTGAACCACGAGCAAAGCTCTTCTTGCCTTACACTGAAGCAAAAGCGAAGAGTCGAGATGGCAGCGCTGAAGACGCCCTTAAAAGTGGTGTTGTGTGCAGCAAAACTTTAATTTATGCAATCAATCCCAAGGCCCCTGGGCTGGGAGAGGATAACGCAAGGATATTAAATCTGTCCCGTTTGCCAATCTGTCACTGCACTGTCAGAACCCATTGATTCTCCCAGCTCTGCCTTCATTAACTGTCTCCTCTGTGTGGTTGCTCGGTCCATCACCTGCTAACCTGCAGATTCCTGGGCTGAGGTTTTTTTAAAGAAAAAGATGCCTGAGAGGAACATCTGGGTTCCTTGGAAGGCATGAGAGAATTCCTTCCTGGCTTTCAAAGCCATCGGTGGGGTTCACTGATGGTTCGACTGGGAGGTTAAAAGAGGAGAAGATTCAGCGTTTGGAAGGCATCCAGGGACAGTGAATGGAAAAGCATTTCCTCTGGCTGAGGGCCTGGGAAGTTGCTCCTAGTCAGAGCAGGCCATACTAGTCTAGATGGGCAAAGGGTTCTGGCCTAGTGTAAGGCGGCTACTGACTTATGTGTCCCACAAGAGTGCAGGATGAAAGCCAGTTTGGTGCAGTGGTAAGAGTTTTGGACTAGGACTGGGGAGACCAGGGTTAAAATCCTCACTTGGTCATGAAGCTCTTGGGCCCGTCACTGTTCCTCAGTCTAACCTACCTCACAGGGTTGTTTTGAGAAGAAAGCATGGTGTATAAAATCATGTACAGCATCTTGATCTCCTTGAGGTACAAGGAGGCATATTGTTGTTGCTGTTTAGTCGTTTAGTCATGTCCGACTCTTCGTGACCCCATGGACCAGAGCACACCAGGCACTTCTGTCTTCCACTGCCTCCCGCAGTTTGGTCAAACTCATGCTGGTAGCTTTGAGAACACTATCCAACCATCTCGTCCTCTGTCGTCCCCTTCTCCTTGTGCCCTCCATCTTTCCCAACATCAGGGTCTTTTCCAGGGAGTCTTCTCTTCTCGTGAGGTGGCCAAAGTATTGGAGCCTCAGCTTCAGGATCTGTCCTTCCAGTGAGCACTCAAGGCTGATTTCCTTAAGAATGGATAGGTTTGATCTTCTTGCAGTCCATGGGACTCTCAAGAGTCTTCTTCAACACCATAATTCAATAAAATGGAATAAATAACCATGATAACAGATCATGCCCACATTTCCCAAAGACCTTTCAATTGAATGGAGGGACTTACCATATTTTTCACTCTACAAGATGCACTTTTTTCCTCCTAAAAAGTAAGGGGAAATGCCTCTGCGTCTTATGGAGCGAACGTGTGGCCAATCGCTGGCTCCCTTTCTGGCCACACCCCCTTGCCCAGGCCTCCATTGTTGAATGTTCTGCAGATGGAGACTGTTTGTTTCCCCAGCGACATGGGACTGGCTGATTAGATTATCTGTCTGGAAACTGTAGAAACGGCTCCCTTTCCTTTCCTAAAGAAGCTGCAGAACTGTGAGTTGAACCCCATAAAAACAGGATTTTTGCCCTTTGCAAAGGGAAACTTTGAGCTAATCCTCAAAAAAGGGGCTTTTCCCCTTTGCAAAAAAGCTGCACAACTGTGAGCTGATCCTCAAAAAACGGGGCATTCCCCCTGTCCTCCTCTAAAAACTAGGCGTGTCTTATGGTCAGGTGTGTCTTATGGAGCGAAAAATACGGTACTTTCCTAGTCCTTATGACTGTGCAAGTAGGCTAAAAGTAGCCTTGGGAAGCAATTTGGATCAGGAACATGGGAGGATATAAACCCTTTCCAGATGCAAATTCCACATGCATTTACACATTAGATGCAGAAGAAACAGTTGTCTTCAACTAAGTCCTACTCAGAGCAGACCCATTCATAGGGACCTAAATTGGTCATGTCCATTTACTTCAAAGGGGCTGCTCTGAGTTTCCATAGATGAGGAGGCTATCAATAGATATTAGCCATTTTGGGCTATGCTCTGCCTCCATGGCAGCAATGCTTCTCACTCCCAGTCGCTTGAAACCACAGGACGGGAGAGGGCTCAGTTGGTAGAGCACGAGACTCTTAATCTCAGGGTCGGGGGTTTGAGCCCCACGCTGGGCAAAAGATTCCTGCATTGCAGGAATGACCCACGTGGTCCCTTCCAACTCTACAATTCTACGATTCTATGACTCCAGTAGTCTAAACCATCGAGCCTCTTGGACTTGCCGATCAGAAGGTCGGCGGTTCAAATCCCCACGACGGGGTTGGCTTCCATTGCTCTGTCCCAGCTTCTGCCAACCTAGCTGTTCGAAAGCACACCAGTGCAAGTAGATCAATAGGTACCACTGTGGCAGGAAGGTAAACGGTGTTTCTGTGCACTCTGGCACTCATCACGGTTTTCCCGTTAGTCCTGCTGGCCATATGACTCAGAAAGCTGTCTGTGGACAAACGCCGGCTCCCTCGGCCTAAAAGCGAGATGAACACTGCAACCCCATAGTTGCCTTTGGCTGGTCTTAACTGTCCAGGGATCGTTTACCTTTTACCTTTTGCTGTACCTCTTCCCACAGGCACAGAATCTTCTGTTGGAAGATTCGAGGCAAGATTAAAAAAACCCTTCTTCACGCAGCACATAGTTAAACTGTGGAACTTGCTCCCTCGGGAGGCAATGATATCCACCCACCTAGACAGCTTTAAAAGAGGATTAGACAAATTCTCGGAGGAGACACCTGTTGCTCAGGTTCTGCTTGTGAATTTCCTATGGACAGGATGCTGTACTAGATGGTCCTTTGGCCTGATCCAGGGGGCTTTCCTGATGCCCTGCCATTGCAACGAAACAAAAGAACAGACACTTTCTAAGCCGGCTTCCTGCATTCCTCTTTCTTCTCATTTCCTCTATGAAATCTCGGAAGCGAAAGGTGTCTCGATCACCCGGGTCTGACTCTTTGTTGCAGTTTGATGTCTCCATGAGCTGCTTCGCTCTCCTGCTCCACACCAGCCTCTTCCCTCACCAGCCTTGCAGCAGCATGGGAATGAATGAGCGCAAAGACTTCCCCCGTCTCTTTAATGAAAAATTAAATATTAATAATGAGAAAAGGATGGTGCCAGATGCCCCCCAGTCTACTGAGACAGAGACAACCCAAAGCCAACATTTCCTGGGAAGGAACAGGCCACACGGTTAAGAGAACGTTGTTGCAGCTGCCTGGCTGTGTCTGCTAAATTGGTAGATCTTGCCCCAGAGATCTCACAGTGGCTGGTGTGTGTGCATTGGAGGGGCAATGCTCGCCCTTGGATATACTGACTTATCTTTCCCAGGCAGCTATTTTTATGGCAACCCGGCCAGATGGGTGGGGTATAAATAATAAAATTATTTCCTGGGGCAGAGGAAGGCGGGTGATCACAGAGCTATGGGTTAGCAGCAAGGTTCAATGTTACCCATACATCACCATTGGGAGTTGATCCATTACCAGTGGGTGGCACTGTGGTCTAAATAACTGAGCCTATTGGGCTTCCTGATCGGAAGGCTGGCGGTTTGAATCCCCATGACGGGGTGAGTTACCGTTGCTCTGTCTCAGCTCCTGCCAACCTAGCAGTTCGAAAGCACACCAATGCAAGTAGATAAATAGGTACCGCTGTGGCGGGAAAGTAAACAGCATTTCCGTGCTCTCTGGCTTCTGTCACAGTGTCCCATTGCACCAGAAGTGGTTTAGTCATGTTGGCCACATGACATGGAAAGCTGTCTGCGGACAAACATTGGCCTCTTTGGCCTGAAAGCGAGATGAGCTCCCTAACCCCATCATCGCCTTTGACTGGACTTAAGCATCCAGGCGTCTCTTACCTTTTTACCCTTACCTCAGTAACCTATTCAGAAGAATGGAGTCACAACTTTCGTTACCCCATATATATATACACACACACACACACACACACACACACACACACACACACGAAACTCCTGGCCTTTGTGAAGCTAAGCAGATTTGCTGAGTTTGACTACTGGTCTGTTTATTTATTCATTGCATTTATTAATTAATTTATTAATTAAAATTTAAACACCGCATGATTTTATATATAAGAAGTTTACAAAAAGATAAAACAGGAAAAGTGAGGGGGGGATTCACAACCCTACTTTAAAGCAAACAAAAGTTAAAATACTAAAACAGACTAAAATTAGCTCAACTTTCTAAGGATCTGGGTTGGCTTGTCCGGACAGGAATGTTTTTAGCAGATGCCAAGAAGAGCATGGTAAAGGCACCTATCTCTATAGACAGGGAGTTCCAAAGTGTAGCTGCTTCCACAGTAAACAATCAACTTCTTACAAATGCAGAATTCCATGGCACCCGTCGTAGGGCCAATTCCACTGATCAAAGCAGCGAAGCGGTCACATCTCGTAGGTAAACTGTTCCTATGTTGTTAAGCCTGCAGATCTCTGAACACGAGTGTTATACAGACGGCAGTGATTCTGTGTGGTGGGGTGGGACGTTCCTGGCCCCCGCGAGCATTGGCAGAGAGCACATAAGCCCACATCGCCCCTTTCTACCCTGTTCCGCTTTCATTCTGGCCTCCAAAAGGACCTGCATGTTGGCTGTCGCATGTCAGTTAGAGGCTTACAGAATGGTTGCCACCTGTATACGCAGGCTTGGTGGGCATGGGTTGGTCAAAACAGTTCCCTAGTGCCTGGCATACAGTATTGTCCTTGGAAAGGTGCAGCTAGAGTCCTTTGCGCTAAACACTGGGGATTCCAAACTATATCAGTGATCAAAGAATGGGTTGGATGGGGGTGCAAATCAGGGATTGTGAAGTAATGACCAGATTAACATATTTTTTTCAGATGGAGACAAGACAATTTCTGGGCGAAATGGCAGGAATTTATTGATTATGGTAAGACAGATGGTTTCGAACTAGACGAGATTTATGGCTTTACAATGTCCTAATATTTGCGAGAGAGCATTATGGAAAATCGGTATGGATGTGTTTGATTCAGGAGATTGATAGAGGAAATTATGAAGACGGAGCTTTATAGCTATTTTAACATGGGATTAAAGTGGGTTGGAAGAGGAAAGTCATGGACTCCTTTTTGAGGAAGCTGTGCCGCTTAAATCTAGTTAATAATAATAATGTATATCTTTTGGATAAGTTCTTGTTTAGTGACATTATTACGGGATTAAGGTCTTGTGGTTTAGGTGTTTATTCAGTTACGAATAATGCTCTTACTCATCTTGTGATATAATTATATCTGTGGTAATAATGAGAACATAAGAAGGGTCTGCTGGATCAGGCCAGTGGCCCATCTAGTCCAGTATCCTGTTCAGTATCCACGAGTGGAACCTGAGCACAAGAGCCACTCTTCCCTGTTGTGGTTTGCAGCAACTGGAATTCAGAAGCACCACTGCCTTCAACCCTGGCAGTTCCTGAGCACTTCCTTTTTTTTATAATATTTTAAAATTAATTTTAACATATAAATTATAAAATGTACCACAAAACTTATCACTTATACAATCTTTTTGGACTTCCATCAGCACCTCTGATGATCCAGCGTTTTAACCACTTCTTATGCATTTCTCAACTTTATATTGCCTTTACATCTCTTGACAAATCATCCTCCCCCTTATCCATTTTTACTATACTTCTAATGATGTTCCTCACAAAACTTCTTGCAACCCTACAAACGTCATCTGTTCTTCACAATTACATTTCAAATAGTCTGTAAATTTACTCCAGTCTTCCGTGAATTTCTGGTCTCGCCAGTTTCGAATCCTTCCTGTTAGTTTATCTAATTCTGCATAGTCCATTAACTTCATCCTCCATTCTTCAATCGGTGGTAACTCTTCTTGCTTCAATTTTTGGGCCAATAATATTCTTGCTGCTGTTATTGCATATAAAAAGAGCTTACATTCCTTTCTATTTATATCACTCTCCACAATGCCCAATAGAAATGCTTCTGGTTTCTTTATAAATGTATATTTCAACATTTTTTTCAACTCATTATATATCATCTCCCAGAAGCATTTCACCTTTTTACATTCCCACCACATGTGATAAAATGTTCCCTCTTTTTCTTTACATTTCCAACATTTATTACTAACTTTATACATTTTCGCTAACTTAACAGGTGTAATATACCATCTATACATCATTTTCATCACATTTTCTTTTAGGGCATTGCATGCAGTAAATTTTAAACCTTCCTTCCATAATTTCACCCAATCACTCAGCTGTATATTATACCCAAAATCTTTGGCCCAGTGAATTATAACTGAGCACTTTCTTCTCCATGAATTTGCCCAATCCTCTTTTAATGCCTCCTTGGGAAGTGAGTTCCATAGGTTAACCATGAAAAACTACTTTTTAAAAAAATCTGCCCTGACTCTCCCAACATTGGGCTGCCCATGAGTGTCAAGAGAGAGGGAGAAAAGCTTTTCATCTTCATCATCACTGAAGATTAAGATACTGGTGGAGGCAGGAGCCTTGATTATGGAGTGCAAGGGCTTTGGTATGTCCATGGCATCTCCATTCAAATTGTGGGTGTAAACACGATAATGAAATGATAGCCATCGCTAATTGGTGATAATTGCTGCTCTTGTGATGATCCCCTGTGCAGTGTCAGATTTACGTAGGAGCTAAACAAGCTATAGCTTAGGGCCCCACTCTCTTGGGGAACCCCAAAAAATTAAAGGGGAAAAAAACCTGGATGTACATTTCCAAAATACAAGATAAAAAACAAATAAAATAAAACCTACATACAGCAACAGTGTTTTGTGTTGTGTAGGCTCCTATGATGTAAGTAATGGGCCCCGCCTGCTAGCCTGCTCCCTAAAATATCACTGGTTTGCTCATTTCTATATATAGGGTGCAAATGGCTTTAGATACCTATTAGGTCCATAAATTGCCATATAGCATACATTCAACACAAAAAACAGTGACAATTTGTTGTTGACAAAGGACAGCTGAACATATAAAGGGCCCTATTACCTTCAGTAGCTTAGGGCCTCATCTAACCTAAATCCGGTCCCTTCTCTTTGCTTATCTCTGTATGTTTCGGCTTTGCATAGAGATGTAAAGAAATATACTTCCTTTTAACCCTGTTATATCCCTCTGTCTCTGAAACCACATAGATCTACCAACCAATACTGCCACTTCATGAAATCTGCCTTAATTCTGGAAATCGTTCAAATTCCTCTTTTTTTTAGGGGGTTGAACTGAAACAGACAATTAGTATTAATTAATTAAGTTTGTATACAGCCCTATACCCACAGGTCTTAGGGCAGTTCACAGGATAAAAATCACAAAATACACAATCAAAACAAAAACTACCCTGTGCACAATGTAAAATACCCATTTCACAGAAGAAAAAGTTAGCCATGACGGCCATCTTTCTTCTGCTTCTTCTATCAGAGGCAGTAATGGATTCTGGAACCCACCTGTGCTTCCAGCAACTGGCATTCAGAAGCATTACTGCCCCCGACAGTGGAGGCAGAAGAAAGATACCCATCATGTCTAACAGTATCTTCTGTGAAATGGGTATTTTGCGGAGCACACAGCAGTTTTCTTAGATTTCCAGGTGTGCCATTGGGTCCCAATGGGCTGGGGACCCCTAGTCTCTTTGTGAGAAAGAACTGAAAGAAATTTCCTCCTCCCCAAAATCACTTTGAATGCCCCGAGCCCTCAGGAGACTTTTTGCCTTCCAGCACGATCTCCTTTCCCCACTAATCGTATGTGACATTAAACACTTATTCAATGAAAACTCCCTTCTCCGGCTCTAATTATTCGGCATGAAAAAAGTTGGTATTGAACAAAGCCAGTGAGCCAAGACGGTTCAATAACTGGCCGGGGCTGAGCAAAGATTATTTCAATAAAGACAAATACTTTCCTCCACAGCCGGATGGTAGTTTCCCAGGATGCCCCGGGAGAAACTGGAACGCGAGAGCATCCTTTTGTCTTCTGTCGGTGATGCTAACCGCGCTGTTAAAAAGCCATCAAGAGCCAATGTTCAGGGCCAGAAGGGATTGAGACAATGGCGATGGCAGGCTCTTGTTTTCAGTGGGAAATGGAGGCATGAAGGATAGAAGGAGTTGTCAGTTTTGGTTCGCTCTGTTTCTGTGTTCATCATCCGCATGAAAATCCACCAGCATTTTAGCGAAGATTTGTCCTAATATTTATGATTGTCTATTCATTTATTTAGCATTATAATTTGTTACCCATCCTTCACCCTAAGGCCCCAGGGTGGGTGGCAACAATTAAAACCCAATGTTAAGAACAGATTTAAATGACTTACAATCACAGAAATAATAACAATAACAATAATATCAATTTGCTTTCCCATACCTAATGATGAGTAAGTGGTTGGATAGGATGGGAGGACAAGCTGGAAGTTTAAAATGCATGTACTCCCATGGGCTGATAATTTGCAGAATGGATTGTTGCAATGTGCTCTCCGTGGGGCTCTTGTAGAACCAAAGAATTATAGAGTTGGAAGGGACCCCAAGGGTCATTTAGTCCAACCCCCTGCAATGCAGAAATCTCAGCTAAAGCTTCCATGACAGGTGGCCATCCAACCTCTGCTTAAAAGCCTCCAGGGAAGGAGAATCTTCTGAGGGAGTCGGTGTCCTCCAAGACGACTTGGAAACTTCAGTTGGTCCAAAATGCGGCAACCAGATTACTGGCTGGGGTTCAACTTAGAACCTTTATAACCACCATTTTTTAAACCGCTGCATTGGTTTCCATTTCATTGCCAGGTTCAATTCAAGGTGAAGAAGAAGAAGAGAAGAAGAGTTTGGATTTGATATCCTGCTTTATCACTACCTGAAGAAGTCTCAAAGCGGCTCACAATCTCCTTTCCCTTCCTCCCCCACACCAAACACTCTGTGAGGTGAGTGGGGCTGAGAGACTTCAAAGAAATGTGACTAGCCCAAGGTCACCCAGCAGCTGCATGTGGAGGAACGGAGACGTGAACCCAGTTTACCAGATTATGAGTCTACCACTTTTAACCACTACACCATGCTGGCTCTTAGGTGCTTAGCATTTAAAGCCTTAAACTACTCAGACTCCAAATACCTGAAAGTGCCTCCTTCCCTACAGACCCTCTTGGGTGCTGAGAGCGACAGAACCCCCTTGGTCCTTCCACTGTCCTCAGAAGCTCGGGGTGGTAGCGGTGATCCAGGAAAGAGCCTACTCTGTGGTGGCCCCTGAGTTGTGGGCCTCCCTCCCCACAGAGGTGCTTCTGGCACCTTCATTGTACAGCTTCTGGTGAAAGCTGAAGACACACCTGTTCACCCTGCTTGTGGCCATGAGGTGCATATTTTTTAGCACCAACCTTATGATGATGATTGTATGTTGTTTATTAAGTTTAATGTGCTTTTCATGTTGTAACCCACCTTGGGAACTCAGGGTGAAGGGCTGAAAATTTCATCACCACCACCATGACAGTAGAACTCTGTGTTACACAAAGAAAACATTGAGGAATAAATGCAGAACAGGTGAGAAAATGTGCTTCATTGCATGACACCCCATTCAGGGTCTAGGGACCTTTTTCACTGCCCCTTGTAGGCTGCTGATCAAAGGCCCAGGGGTCCTGTCAATCAAACAAGTGAGAGCAGAAAATAGAGCAGAATAATGAGTTCATTGCCATAAAATTCTGCTTCTCTCCCCCTCCCCCCAGCTGTCTCTTTACTAGTGCAAAGGAGCATTCAGGAAATAGGAAGAGACATCATCGTTCAGCGAGAGCTTGGCAGAAATATGCAATTTTCCTCATTCTTTAACTGGGAGGCTGAATGTCTGGTGGAAATTTCCATCTTTAAGTAATCTCTTTTTTATTCTTTAGAACAGATGTACAAAGGAGGAATGGACTGCAGGGCAGGCACAAAGAGTTGGCATGGTTGGGCGTATGCCAGGGCCCCGCTCCTCACCACTAACAATACCTTCCCAGATTTGCCCATTGAGTGGTGAGGGCTTGCGGAGAGTATTTCCCCAGGGGTCTTCTGAAAACTGGAGGAAGTATTGATGGGCCCATCCCTGAACTGGTTTCTCAAGCTGAGCGATGCCTCCTTGCTGGCCGATTCTTCATGCGGCGCACAGTTAAACTATGGAACTCACCCCCACAAGATGCAGTGACGGCCAACAACCTGGATGGCTTTAAAAGAGGGGTAGACAAATTCACAGAGGGGCATAAGTCTACTAGCCATGACAGCTATGCTCTACATCCATAGCTGGAAGCCATAATGCTTCTGAATACCAAATGGTGAGTGATGCTCTAAGGTGCTCTGAGGAAACAGCAGGATGGGAGCCTTTCGCAGCCTTCTTGTCGACAAGAAATCACATGGTGATCTTCCCACTGCCTGAATGCCAAAAGAACATCTGGAATGGATGTCAGGGACCGTGCTGAGGAGGACTGCACTGAGGAGGAGTGGTGGGAGCCACCCCCTCCCCCGATCATGAACCTTCCCAGTAACAGGAGGACAGCGTAGATTTGGAACAGTGGTTTGCAGAGGGGCATAGTTCGGAAGGCAGAAGTGGGAAATACTGGCTGGCGAACAGCTAGAAGAAGAAGAAACACTGGAAGAGAGAGGGTTAACAGCGTGATGGCCTGGGATTCAGACTTGAATGCTGAACCTGAGGGATCCCAGCCTGCACAGGATTCCCCGCCTCCAAAACCAGCTGAGCCAGGGCTGGGGCATGAGCCTGAAGGGTCCTCACCCGTGCTGGGTCCTCAGGTGCAGGCATCAGCTGAGTCTGCTCTGTCTCCTGAGGTGATGGAGGACCCATTGCCTGCAGGTGCTCCACTCTCAGCCCTGTCAGAGGAAGCTGAGGTTGCCTCTGGGTCCGGTAACTCTTCAGCCTCTCCTGAACTACAGAGGCTCAGGGCAGAGAGGCGGAGGGAACTAAGTTCCCGCAGGAGGAGTGCTCGCCTCCAGGCCAGGAGAGGCGAGTCACCAGAGGATCGGGTCTGCTCTATGCCTCGGGGCAGATAAAAGCCGGCCAGTCCCAGTCCCAAGTTGTGGGAGCAACATTGTTGGTTGCTAGTTCCTGCCTGAACTGCTTTTCTGCCAGAGTTCCTGACTTCACCTGACTCCCTGCCCTGCACCCAGCTTCAGCTACTACGGACTGCCTCCATGTTGCATCTTTGACCACGGACCGGACTTGGACCTCGCCTCTCGGGCAACCCATGGGACCAGCACAAACAGATTCACAGTCATTGGACAGCCTTCCTCCACCCGCTCGCCAAAGTCAAGAAGAGCTCAGAAAGTCGCAGAACAGAAAGTGCTGAGGGTACAAGCTCAGATTACAAGATGTAGATTAATATGGATGGAGGGCGGGGGAGTGAGCCTGGGGAGAACATTCCAAGAAACGGGGAGCCTCAATCTCAGTGATTATTAAAGAATCTAACTGGTAAGTCATTCCTTTTGTTTGATCTTATTTACTGCCACAGGGGAGGAAGCCAATTCCCTGAAGCCTGACAATGGACCAGGCCAATGGCCCACATCTAGCAGTGGTGGACTTTGGGGTCTGAAATTTCAGCAGTGCCCTGCACAACATCAAAATTCAGAGCTCCCTGTCTCTCAGCTTTCAATCTAACTCATAGTTTTGGAGCCTCTTGTGATGCTCCCGAGGCTCCGTGCCCAGTGCGTGCTCCCCTAAATCTACCTCTGCATCTAGTCCAGCAACCTGCTGGCCAACCAGAAGCCCTCATGGGAAACCCTTAAGCAGAACCCAAGCACAAGGGCACTCAAACCTCCCACCCTAACCCCACCTGTGATTCCCACCAACTGTGATTCAGAAGCATTACTGAACATGGAGACAGAACATAGACACCATAGCTAGCAGCCGCTGGTAGCCATCAATTTTCCTGCAGACAATATCTAGCTTTTCCCCCTTGGCAGGCTGACATCCAGAACAAATACCTGAAGGAGCATCTCAACCCCCATCGCTCTACTTGGGGCTACCTTTGAAGGTGACCCAGAAACTACAACTAATCCAGAATGCGGCAGCTAGACTGGTGACTGGGAGTGGCCACTGAGACCCTAAAACACCGGTCTTGAAAGATCTACATTGGCTCCCAGTATGTTTCCGAGCACAATTCAAAGTGTGGCTGCTGACCTTTAAAGCCCTAAACAGCCTCAGCCCAATACAGTAGTACCTCTGGATATGAACAGGATCCGTTCTGGAGCCCTGTTTGCATCCTGAAGTGAACGCAACCCGCGTTCGCATGTCTGCATTCCGTTACTTCCAGGTCACCACGGAGCGCAACCCAAAGCACTCAACCTGAAACAACTTCAACCCGAGGTCTGACTGTATACCTGAAGGAGCATCTCCACCCCCATCGTTCTGCCCGGACACAGAGGTCCAGCTCTGAGGGTCTTCTGGTGGTTCCCTCACTGCGAGAAGCCAAGTTACAGGGAACCAGGCAGAGGGCCTTCTTGGTAGTGGCACCCACCCTGTGGAACGCCCTCCCATCAGATGTCAAGGAAATAAACAACTCCATGAATTTTAGAAGACATCTGAAGGCAGCCCTGTTTAGGGAAGTTTTAAATGTTTGGTGTTTTATTGTGTTTTTAATATTCTGTTGCGAGCTGCCCAGCCAGATGCGCGGGGTATAAATTATAAATAATTATTCTTATTCTTATTCTTAAATGTTTCCTTTGTCCAACAAATGGGGTGCCCCCCCCCTTTGGAAGGGCTAAGGTGCTGGATAGCGCCCTCCCTCCCTTCCTTGGGGCCTGTTGCCAGAGGGAGGGAGGGAACAGAATCGGCCTCTTCTAACAAGTCGGGTGGTAGATGACATCCAATTATCCAAACTGAATATAATGTAATTTCACCCATGGGCAAGCCTGAAAGGGACGCGCTTCCCCCGGAGGGTGATGTATGATACCTCGGCCCCGCTATCTCTGTTTGCCAAGCCTGCGGCTCCATCCCCGGCTCCCTAGCAAATCTCCAAAGCTCAGAAGGCAGGGAGCGAGCGAGTTTCACAGCTGAGAGGCTCCGATAAACCCCCTCGACAGAGCGGCTTGTTGTTAAAATCCCACCGCAAACACAGAGGAAATTAATGGCTCTCTCCCTTGCTTGTTCGCTCTCCCTTGCTACTCTTTTTTTCTATTTGCTTTCTGCTTTCCTGGGCTCCCCCCCCCCCCGCTCTCTCTTCCTGCACCCCGCTTTGTTCCCCCCTCCTCTTTCCTTTCTTGTTTATGATAAACACGATTCAGGGCTCAGCACGGCGCCTCACCCGGGGCTATTTGCTTGTACATCAGAGATGGAGGAACGGCCTGGACAAGACTGGGGTTGGTCAGGAGATATTAGCAAATGGAGTGTAATTAGGCTTCGCCGGGTGGAAGCCAGGAGCGCCTCGCAGGGAGGAGAGACATGAAGGCAAGCTGTAGTCTGGAGGATGCCTTGCAAGTTCTCCTCCCCTTTATGACTCTCTCCGGGTTTTCTTCTCCTTTTAAAATCATTTTTATTTATTTTCAGGAAAGGAGGTAATACAAAAGTCTGCAAAATGCAGTGCTGTCATGATCTGATGACCGTCTGCAGAGTCCATATGCAATGACAGATCCCTGTCGAACAAAAGCGGACATAAGATCAAAGCAAATTAACCACAGATATGTGAACGTGCAGAAGGTCACGACTGGAACTGTTTAGAACATAGACATAATGGTTATAAACGAGACAGGACTGAGCCTATACCAAGGGAAAGTACAGTGGTACCTCAGGTTAAGAACTTAATTCATTCTGGAGGTCCGTTCTTAACCTGGAACTGTTCTTAACCTGAAGCACCACTTTAGCTAATGGGGCATCCCGTTGCTGCCATGCAATTTCTGTTCTCATCCTGAAGCAAAGTTCTTAACCCGAGGTACTATTTCTGGGTTAGCGGAGTCTGTAACCTGAAGCGTCTGTAACCTGAAGTGTCTATAACCCGAGGTACCATTGTAGTTAGTATTCAAATGCCCTGATTCACTTTATCAGCCATATTGGTTCAGAGGCCAAGGGAAGGTCTTGGGCCTGATCCAGAGGGATGATTCTTATATTCTTAACTGCATTAAGGCATGTTCTTGGTGTAAACAGATTTACATCTCTCCTTCAGCTCTGCAGGAGTTGGTTTCCAGCCAGCCAGCCAGAAAATCTACCCCTTTTCAATAAATAAAATACATAAAATAAATCATTTCATTTGTATGCCGCCATGCTCAAGGCGGCTTACAATGTACAAAAAATACATAAGTACAAACATTACAAAAGTAGTTACAAACAATAAACACATCAAAAACTACACAACCTGAACCTTTTTTAAAAATTAAAAAACTGCATCGATTTAGACATTGCTTAAAATATATTGCAACCAAATTTGGCACAATGGTCCCTAAGGTCAAGAAGCAGTTTCCTGGCTATATTTAGACACCATTTTGAAACTAAATAATGAGCTCAGTCTTTCAAAAATGCACTGATTAGGACAACTATTAAGATATTTTAACAAAAATTGGTACAGTGGTTCTTCAGATCAAGCAGCAGGTTTTGGTCTACAGGTGGCTATCATTGAATGCCATTTTTAATCAAAATGGTGGACTGATTGCCAGTCGAGGGTTGCTGTTGGTTTCTTAGAATTCCCAAGTAATATCTAGGAAGTTGTCTTCTACCAAGTCAGAACTTTGCTCTGTCTCCAAGGTCTCCAAGTTTTCAGAGAAGAGCATTTCCCAGCTTTACCTGAGGATGCTGATGACTGGAACACACTGTGCAGATTTAGTTCTGGGGTCCTTCTGGACTCGAGCTCAATGACCAGAGCATCTGCCTTGCATGCAGAATGCTTCATGTTCAATCCCTGCCATCTTCAGCTAGGGCTGGGGAAGATTGTCTGGAAACCTGGAGAGCTCCTGTCCATTAGTGTACACCAGGGTTTCCCAAGCTTGGATCTCCAGCTGTTTTGGGACTACAGTTCCCATCATCCCTGGCCACTGGTCCTGCTAACTAGGGATTATGGGAGTTGTAGTCCAAAAAAAACAACAACAGTTGGAGAGTCAAGTTTGGGAAACCCTGGTGTGGACAGTACTGAACTACATGGATCTATGGTCTGATGTGGTATAAGGCATGTTCCTATTTAAAACATCCTTTCAGAAACATAAGTATTGGATCTTCAGGTCGCAGCCAATGCTAATCCTATTCAAAATAGACACAATGAAATCAACAGTCAGGAATAACCTAGGTCTATTAATTTCAATGGGACGCGGGTGGCATTGTGGGTTAAACCACAGAGCGTAGGACTTGCCGATCAGAAGGTCGGTGGTTCAAATCCCCGCGACGGGGTGAGCTCCTGTTGTTTGGTCCCTGCTCCTGCCAACCTAGCAGTTCGAAAGCACGTCAAAGTGCAAGTAGATAAATAGGTACCGTTCCGGCGGGAAGGTAAACGGCGTTTCCGTGCGCTGCTCCGGTTCGCCAGAAGCGGCTTAGTCATGCTGGCCACATGACCCAGAAGCTGTACGCCAGCTCCCTCGGCCATTAAAGCGAGATGATCGCCGCAACCCCAGAGTCGGCCACGACTGGACCTAATGGTCAGGGGTCCCTTTACCTTTACCTTATTAATTTCAATGGCTTTACTCCAAGCAGGATTTAGTTGGATACGACCCTTACTTTCTTTTTAGTGGAAGGACTATTTAGTCCACAGGTAGAGGCACCTGCTTTGCATGCAGAAGATCCCAGATTCAATCCCTAGTATCTCCATATAGGACTAGAAGAGACTCCTGTCATGAGCTGCTGCCTGTCAGTGTAGACAATACTGAGCTAGATGGACTAGTGCTCTGACTCAATATAAGTCAAGCTTCCTATTAGAGAAATTTTGCAAAACACAAAAGAAGTACACCCACCCCCACATATGACAAAACCCTCTCACCCCAATTTTCTTTTCTTTTCTGGGACATCAATTCTGAAGCACTGATTTGTAAGCAAAAGAGGCATCTTCACATATATTCTTTTTCGGTTTGTTTTTAATCAGGGAATCCAGAATTGCAGTTCCCAAGGCAACTGCAAATCACCCCCCTCTTTTTTTTTTACATGATATATTAAATCAGGGAGGTGGGGGATGATCACTGAAGCCAATATACACACACTTATATGGAGGGAAGGAGAAAGGAGAGAAGCTGGCTTTTCTGTGCAGGAAGCAGAACATAACCTTGAAATCTCTGGTGGCTTATAGAATGGACCAAATTCTGGACCATAATTCTTCCTAAGAATGTTGTAATGCCACAGAGAGAGAAAGCTTCTGAGAGAACTAGGATGCAGGGACAAGCCCTCCGAGTCAAAAGTGCAGCTGGAAAGATTTGTTAGGGGCTAGACGAGATGTGCTCTGGACATGGAAAGATGGCATGTTCAGAGACACCAACATTTCTCCAGCCTCTTACTCTCTTTTATACCTCCTACCCTCTCCATTTTGCTCTGCCCTGAAACCTCTGCTGAATCCTGTTTATCTGGGAGAAGAGGAGGAAGAGGAGGAAGAGGAGGAGGAGGAGGAGGAGGAGGAGGAGGAGGAGGAGGAGGAGGAGGAGGAAGAAGAAGAAGAAGAAGAAGAAGAAGAAGAAGAAGAAGAAGAAGAAGAAGAACAACAACAACAACAACAACAACAACAACAACAACAACAACACATAGTTTCTTCCCTTCACCGTTGGAGAAGAGCCATAGCTGAAACTCTGGAAAGCTTCTGTCAGCCCATGCAGAAAGCACTGAACTAGATAGACCCAGTGGTCCGACAAAGATTCCTATGTCTTAAGATAAAGGTTCCGAGCTAGAGCACCTCCTTGGCATGCAGAAGGTCCTTGGCATCTCCAGGGAAGGCTTGTATCTCTGGAAAGCTGTTACTGGTCAATGGCTTGTATCCTATGCTAGTCTTATTCAGAATAAACCTGTTGAAGGGAACAAGCATTCCTAACTGAGGTTCATTTTACTTTCAGTGGGTCTACTCTCAGTGTAACTCAGCCGGATGCAACCTGGTCCAGACAACACTGAGGTGTTTAGCCCAAGCGTCTGACTCAGCGTAAAGCAGCTGTGAAAAGCACCAATGTACACCAGTGAACCTCTGCTTTCAAAACAAAGCAAACTCAACATGTTTGAAGACACGATGGCATCAAGCTTCTGTTTGCATGGCACTCTGCACTCCTGGGCATTGACAAAACGCTGCTCAAAGAGAGGTTTGATGCAACCTGATGTACAATCACATCAAGGCAGTTTCTCGGCTGTTGCTCTCTTGCAGGTGTGATTCAATCGTGTGCCGGCAAATATAGGTTTCAACAATTCCAAGTGGATGCGGTGCTCTCTCGCAACAAATCATCTTCTTCAAGGGGAAACCCTCCCCCCATAACCAAACATTTATACCCTGCCCATCTGGCTGGGTTTCCCCAGCCACTCTGGGCGGCTCCCAACAGAATATTAAAAACACGATAAAACACCAAACATTAAAAACTTCCTTAAACAGAGCTGCCTTCAGATGTCTTCTAAAAGTCAGATAGTTGTTTATTTCCTTGACATCTGGTGGGAGGGCATTCCACAGGGCAGGCGCCACTGCCAAGAAGGCCCTCTGCCTGGTTTCCTGCAACCTCACTTCTCGCAATGAGGGAATTGCCCGGAGACCCTCTGAGCTGGACCTCGGTGTCTGGGCTGAACGATGGGGGTGGAGACGCTCCTTCAGGTATACTGGGCCGAGGCCATTTAGGGTTTTAAAGGTCAGCACCAACACTTTGAATTGTGCTGGGATAGAAACACACACACCCAATCTTGCTGCAATTGTATGTTGCCACTCCACAGGGATAAAATAATGGGGTTGGGTGGGAAGGAATGAATGTCCCTAGCCCCTAGTATTCAGCACCTTGAACAGAGAAAGATAACCTTGCATCAAACCTTTGCTTCTCCTCCTTTGGGTCACCCAGCCCGGGGACCTCTCAGAATGCAGCCTTCTGCCCCTGGTTTTCCTTCCAACAACTTTTGCTCTGGTTCTCATCTGCATCTTTGTTGCTAAGCTGAAATCACTCGGGGCCCTTGTTAAACAGCTTAGGGGGAGCAAGAATCGCAGCATTAAAAATGGATGTGTTCCAAAAGCCTCAACCGGGGGTGGATGTTCCCTATGGGGAGAGCAAGTGTGCACAAGCACACACAGAGAGACAGTTTCCTAAATGCAGTATTGATGACTCATTGGCCCATCTGAGAAGGCATGTGTCAGATAAATATTATGGCATGGTGACATCATTTGGCTAGCTGGAGCTTCACTGGTGTGCAAAATAATGCCTATTAAAGACTTTGAGCAGGACCCTCAAAAAGTCTCCCATTATCTTGCTGAGCTTGAAAGGTAGGACAGAAAGTAAAATCATGGAAGAGCTGGTGCTCATTGGGACTGGTAGAACAGAAGGGAAGGGAGCCCAACAGTAAGAAAAGGATGTGTGTGTAAAGGACCCCTTGACAGTTAAGTCCAGTCAAAGGTGACTATGGGGTTGCATCGCTCATCTCGCTTCAGGCCAAGGGAGCTGGCTTTTGTCCACAGACAGCTTTCCAGGTCATGTGGCCAGCAGGACTAAACTGCTTCTGTTGCAAGTCCCCTGATGGAAGCCAGAGCACATGGAAACACCATTACCTTCCCGCCACAGTGGTACTTATTTATCTACTTGAACTGGTGTGCTTTCGAACTGCTAGGTGGGCAGAAGCTGGGACAGAGCAACGGGAGCTCACCCCATCATGGGGATTCAAACCGCCAACCTTCCGATTGGCAAACCCAAGAGGCTCAGTGATTTAGACCACAGCACCACCCGAGTCCCCAACAGTAGGCATTGCAGAACCAATGGTGGCCAGAGCCAACTCATTCCAGTTTTGTCCCTATCCTTCTCCTCCCTGCTGAGTTCTGCAAGGGGCAGCACTGAGGCTAAGGAGGCAGCTGACAGGCAGTGCCATCCCCTGTTGTAACAAAGAAGGCAGGAGCTGGTTGAGGGCAGGTTGGGATTGGTGGGGCAGTGACTCATTTGATTCCACTGTGGCCGAGATGAGCTATGAACCAGAGACCTTCAGATTTACAACTCAGGGTTATATCCCAGGTTATATTTTCCTGCAGTGGCTCAGGTTTGTTGGAATGTTCTCTCCAGGGAGGTTCAGTTCATGCCTTCATTATACACCTTTAGAGTAGGACGTGGGTGGCGCTGTGGTCTAAACCACTGAGCCCCTTGGGCTTGCCGATCAGAAGGTTGGCAGTTCGAATCCCCGCGATGGAGTGAGCTCCCATTGCTCTGTCCCACCTCCTGCCAACCTAGCAGTTTGAAAGCAGATCGGTGCAAGTAGATAAATAGGTACCACTGCGACAGGAAGGTAAACAGCATTTCCGTGCGCTCTGGTTTCTGTCGCAGTGTTTCTGTTGCACCACAAGAGGTTGAGTCCTGCTGGCCACATGACCCAGAAAGCTGTCTGTGGACAAACACTGGCTCCCTTGGCCTGAAAGCGAGATGAGCGCTGCAACCCCATAGTCGCCTTTGACTGGACTTAACCGTCCAGGGGTCCTTTACCTTTATTTTTTATAGCATAGGAACATAAGTGAAGCTTTGCTGCTGGGTCAGGCCAAAGCCCCATCTAGTCTAGCATCCTGTTCTCAGAGTGGCTGACCAGATACCTGTGGGAAGCCTGCACACAGGACCGCAGTGCAACAGTAAATCTTCCCAGTTGAGATTCTCAGAATCATATTGCTTCAAATCCCCATGATGGAGTGAGCTCCCGTTGCTCTGTCCCACCTTCTGCCAACCTAGCAGTTTGAAAGCACATCGGTGCAAGTAGATAAATAGGTACCACTGCAATGGGAAGGTAAACGGTGTTTCCGTGCGCTCTGGTTTCTGTTGAGGTGTCCCGTTGCACCAGAAGCGGGTTAGTCCTACTGGGCACATGATCTGGAAAGCTGTCTGTGGACAATGCCAGCACCCTTGGCCTCAAAGTGAGATGAGCGCCACAACCCTATAGTCACCTTTGACTGGACTTAACCATCCAGGAGTCCTTTACCTTTACCTTTTTTAGGCACCAGGCAAAAACATTCCTTTTAAACCAGGTCTTTGGCTGATTGACACCCAATGCCCATTTAAAATGGATTGGGGGGTGTTATTGGGTTGATCTTATTTTTGTTTTGGGTATGTATTTTGTATTCTAATATTGTGATTTTATGTTGTGAACCGCCCTGAGACCTGCGGGTATAAGGCGATATACAAATGTTAATAATAATAATAATAATAATAATAATAATAAATCGAGCTAAGTTTTATTCAGAGTATACCTATTTGCACAAGTGGACTGAAGTTTGTTGTGTCCATTAACCATTAGCTAGTGTGATATAGTGGAGAGAGTGTTGCACTGGGAGACCTGAGTTCAAATCCTCAACACTTCACCTGGGAAGAAGTGGGGGGCTACAGGGTGAGGAATGTTGGTGAAATCTCCTGGCTTAAACACCAAGCTGATCACCCAAAATGTTGAGGCTCCTGTTTCAAACTTCTTTGAGGGAGAAAAAACAAACAAATAAAGGCACAGCTCTCATCTCTTTGGGGTTTCTAAGAAAAGATGGAAAGAAATTATATGGAAAATGACACTCTGCAAGCCTCACCCGGCAAAGATTGAAAATGATCCAAAGGGATAATAGGAAGTACTTATGGGGTCAACATCCCCCTGATTGGCATATTTTGTTCATAATGGAATATGAATCACTTCTTACATTTTCGCAATGATCCCCACACTTAACTCTAATTAAAGTTTCTCTCTCCTTTCACTTCCTCCCTCTTTTAATTGCAAGAATCTTGGCACAGGATAATGGGTGGTGATGGAGGAGCGCGCAGGGCGGGGGGGGGGGAGGCAGTGGGAGATTCATTCTCCCTGGATCTCAGAGGAAGTGAAATTAAACCTTTTTGGTAAACAACCGCTTGTGCCCACGGATCTCTCCAAGGCAGTCTGTGGAGGGGAAGCTAATGGAGAAGGCAGCTTGTCCTTTGAACTCAGCTGACGGAATTAGAATTGGTATGCATCTCTCTTTCAGGCTATGCCCGCTTTCCCAGAATCCTTTGCAAGCAATGGGCAGCTGGGAATTTCTGGCTGCTTGTGTTGTTTTGGAGGAGAAGAGGGCTATTCGGTTGTTTGAAGACTGAAGAGCTTTAATCAAAATATAACTTTCCTTTTTCTAGAAGAAGAAGAAGAAGAAGAAGAAGAAGAAGAAGAAGAAGAAGAAGAAGAAATAATAATTTATCTATTTTTAAGGGGCATGTTGATTAAGCCCATTCCAGCTGGGCTGCATAAGAAACAGGGAATTGTGATTACCCCAGCCATTCAAGGCCAATCTACACATAATATGCTAAATGTGTAGAACCATACAATTGTAGAGTTGTGAGGGAGGATGAGGATAATCTAGTCCAGCCCCCTGCAATTCAGGGATCTTTCACCCAACAGGGGGCTCAAACTCACAACCCTGAGATTATGAGTCTCAAGCTCAACCGAGAATCACATTGAATGCATGTGAGTTCCTAAAGACTACAAAACCCATGATGCAGGTATGAAGGAGTATCTGGTGGGAATGCTCTGAAAGCCAGGAACCGATAACATTGAGCGTGTGGGTTTTGTTTTTTGTTTTGTTTTTGTTAAATAGCAGCTGTGTGGGGCCCAATCATGATTGGGACCACAAGATAACTCCTCCCCCCCATGCTGCTGCCCGGTCAAAAATCCCTCCCCCTTCAAA